CCACTGAGCCTACCCACACTTGTACTGTTTCTTTCCAGACAGGGTCTCAAGTAGTGCAGGCTGGCCTCAAACTCACTATGCCATTATGCAGCTGAGGATGCTCTTGAACTCCCTAGGATACAAATGTGTAGCACTATGCCCTGCCTACACCTATACTTCTGTATTAAGACAAATAAATCTAGCTGTAAGTCTTTCTGTTGCCTAGTCTCCAAACTGGGTGAGATACTACATTTCAGCTGGTCAACTGTTACAATATAGACATAAGGTTTTTTTTGTTTTTGTTTTTTGATTTTTGTTTTTGGTCTTTTTGAGACAGGGTCTCTCTATAGCCCCAGCTGTCCTGGAACTCACTAAGTAGACCAGGCTGGCCTTGAACTCACAGAGATCTGCCTGCCTCTGCCTCCCAAGTGTGTGGATTTTTGTTTTTTTACCTTTTGTATGTTCCCTGAATTCCATCTGTGGACCCATGGTTGAGAATGCTGATAAAAGTATACTTTGTAAAGCATCAAATACAAATAAAGCCTTACAAAAAGTATTAGCCACTCAACTGTGAGGTAAGGGAAACCAAAAGTGTAAGCATTATTTTCCCCAAAACTATGATGGGTCATTAGTCAGTTGCATGCTTCAAGCTGAAATCAAAAGGGGTTTGTGGGGCTGGTAGCACTGCTGGAGTCAGCCTTGCAGCAGGGAAATCGTGCAGACAGTGACATACAGTGACCCAACGCAGCCAGCAGCAGCTAGGAATGTGAGCAAACTCCCTCTTTCCACAAGGCCTGTGGAAAAGAATAAAAGGGCTAGATCATGTACCTCTTAGGCCCCTTCCCCTCCTAAATTGTTATCAGATTATCTCCTTCTGCTAGCTGTTTATTCCCATACTTAAACTTCAAAACATTCTGGCTTTTAAAAGTTGTTTAAATTACAGTTACTCATTTATTTTGAAAGCACAAGTGTGGTGAAGATCAAGAGACAACCTGACAGTATTGGGTCTCTCCTTCTGCTATGTGGGTTCCAGGGATCAAAGTGAGGTTGTCAGAATTGGTGGTAAGTGCCTTACCCACTGAGTCATCTCACCAGTCCCATCCTTGCCATTATTAAACTTAAACAGCAAGTTAGACCCAATTTGAATGATCTTGTATACGACCTAAAACCAGTAAATCAAATATAAATACTATTATAACTTTTTAAAGCCTGTTCTGTTCATGTTTACTTGATAAAAGGCAAATCACAGCACTGGTCTTGTGTATATGTGTTTGCATGTGTGTGTATGCACATTGGTCTTGTATATATGCATGTGTGCACGTATGTTCATGAATGTGTACATATGCATGTGGAAATCAGGGGTCAATGTAAGGTGTCCTCCTCTGTCACTCTCCATGGTAATTTCTGAGACAGGGTCTCTGACTGAACCTGGAGCTCACCATTTTGGCTAACTAAGAAGCCCCTGGGATCTGTTTGTCTGTGCTTCCCCAGTGCTTGGAGTTAGTTACACACCCCCTGCGTGACTTTTACATAGGTGCTGCAATCCAAACTCAGGTCCCTGTGCTTATATAGCAAGCACTTTAGCCCTGAGTCATCTCCCCAGCCCAGGAGAAAAAAATGGGCTTTTTTTTCTGTTATTGAGACTCTAGATATGTGCCCCTTTGCATTCTAGCACTACTGCTTTGAGACTCTTACAAAATAAACAAAGGTCAAGCTACTTAGAATTTGTTAACTACTGTATGTTCCACATGTGAGTTAATGAACAGAACCAGAGAGCACAAACCAAGAAAGACTCTTGATGACTCCTAATCCAATCCTATTTTGATACTGCTAAAGAAAAAGAAGGTAGAACGAAGCCAAAATCACGAAGCCAGTGAGCCAGAGAGCAGGACCCGAATCGGGCCCCACCAACTGTAAAGGCATGCTCTCCTAACTACATTGTATGGGTTTTTTTGTTTTTTGTTGTTTTTTTTGTCTTTTTGAGACAGGGTCTCCCTGTAGCCCCAGCTGTCCTGGAACTCACTATGTAGACCAGGCTGGCCTTAAAATCACAGGGATCCTCCTGCCTCTGCCTCTGAGTGCTGGGATTAAAGGTGTGCACTGCCATGCCCCATTGTATGGCTTTTAAATCTCAAACCACTTCCCCAACTTTAAAATGACAGCCAAGTTTAAAATTCACAGCCAAAAATCTAAAACAACCGTTCTCTCCACCTTCAATTAAGCAGTGGACACAACAAAGACTTGTGGCTATGACACAGTAACTAGTCAGAATTATGAAATAATCTAAATTCCACAAACCTGAATGCAAAGTAAGGACCCCACCAAATTCTAACTGTGTGGCTTTCTCTTAGTATTGTGTAATCTATGAAAAGATGCAGGGAAGTATTTGTATGTAGATACAGACATGGATCAACTTTTTCAGCTTGCTCTCCAAACTTCCTAGTAGCATTTTATCATAGAATTCAGGGCACAGCAAAAAGGTCAATCACACAGCAAATAAAATAAAAACCACTGCATTTTACAAGTAAACAAATAACCACATCATTGCCAAGGGTCTTTTTTAACATCAAGAATAATTTCATCGAGAAAATCTTCCCGACAGTCTCTGTTCACCAATATATATGTCCTAAAGGATGAACTATGCAAAGTGATAGTAGTTTTTATTTAAATACTAGGGTTGCTTTAAAAGAGAAGACACCCTCTTATGTTCTGTGAGTGGAACACTGAAAGGCTTCCTTTAAATCTACCTATTTATTTATTCACCATCTTACCTTCCCTCATTAATGTAGTTAATATTGCAAAAGAGTCAGAAATCTACTCTTAAAAAAACCACAATTCAAGTATACACCAACCAGACCAGCATCTGCTACTTCAATTTTACTTTCTCAAAAGGCCTTCCTTAACCTAGAAGAAAACACCACCCATCTACAAAGGTAATAATCTACTGTTTATCTACTGTGGAGAAGTGTCAACACATCTAAAATGATCATTATTTATTCAGACGTTTCCTTCTTATGCTTTAGTCTACACTAAAATGAAAATTTCCAGTTCACTGCTGGATGATAGATAGCCCTAATGCCCAACAGTGCTGGCACATAGTAGGTACACTGATTAACTGCTGAGTGTCTAGCTCCAATTATAAGGTAAGAAGCTGTTATGCCATCCTTAGTGTCTCGTGGAAGAGCACTCGTAAAGGGCAGAGCACTTGCAATAGGCAATGTATTTACACAGACACTAGAACAATCCAGGGTGTAAATTCTTTTCCTGGCTTTGCATCCAGCGATGAGCACAAAACCTCTCCAGGCTCTGGAGCACACTGCTCCTCTGAAACATCTCAACAGATTGCCTCAAAAGGAAATAATGAAATAAAGTTCTGGCATAAATTAATCTTCTGTGTCGAGTTCACAGTGTTAAACATACTTTGAAGCTAGCCACATAAACAAAACCAAACTCCAAAAAATTAGGTTGGGCTGAAGTTACATAAGACAGACTAAACTGTGGCTTTTTCCCTTTTACTCCTCCCTCTTCGCAGAGAACTCTGACATCAGTCTTTTAAGTGCACGCAATTCCCATGCAGGTGCGAAAGGCCTTTATCTGCAGTTTATAGATTGGTAATGAGATTTCCAGTACCACCCCATTTAAAACGCTAGCAAAAAACTGAGGAAGACTAGGAAACTTTGAGGCAAGCTATCTCTAGAAGCTTCTTTAATAAAAACTTTTAAAAATTATTTTTTAAGTCATCACTTACATCAAAGTAGTTATCAAAGCACCTTTTTCAAATTTCCCAGAATCTTTCTGCATAGGGAGGACTCCTCCGGAGCCTAAGCCCACCCATAGGCACCCAGGACGGTCGGAAGACAGGTCTTTCAAAAGAGGACAAAAGCGCGGGTTCCTAGGAGCTGCACACCCAAAGGAAAAGATAATCCTTCGCCCTGCAGCACTAAACCCAAGTTGCCGGCCCCCATGTTTCCGGCACTTTCCTCCTCCCCTCCCACAGCCTTTTCACTGCCCACTTTATCCAGGTTTAATCCCGCGAAGCCTCCCTCCTGGCTTACTAAGGGTGCACAATAGAAATGTCACAAGGAAACTCAGGAAGTAGATGAAGTCTCTAATTGCTGCCGTTTAACGATTGCAGATAATTACTATCTTCAAAATGTGGTTTTCACCAGCGGAGAGAGAGCCTAGGCGGGCAAGCTGGCGAGCTCCCCCCGCCGCCGGGAGGGCATCCGCGAGACCCGGGACCCGAGGAGACCCGGTGCGGAGACCCCAGGGCTGAGGGGACCCCAAGGGTGAAGGGATTCCAGAGGTGCGGGACCCGAGGGGTGTGGGGACCCGGGGGCGAGGGGACCCTAGGGGTGAAGGGACCCCAGGGGTGCGGGAACCCTAGGAACGCGGGGACTCCAGAGGTGCGGGAACCCAAGGGGTTCGGGGACCCCAAGAGTGCGGGGACTCGAGGGTAAGGGGTCTCGAGGGACACAGGGACCCCAGAAATGCGGGAACACCACCGATGAGGAGACCCGAGGGACCCCAGGGTTGAGAGAACCCCACGGGTGCTGGAAACTGAGGAGCGCGGGAATCCGAGGGGTGAAGGGACCCGAGGACAGAGGGGGTCCTTGGGGTACAGGACCCGAAGGGCGCGAGCCCAGGGTCCAGGCCCGCCGCCCGGGGTCACTCTCGGCGTGGGGAAGCCTAGGCCCTCCGGGCTGCCCAGGGTCACAGACAGGTCGCTGCCCGCGGCGGTCACCGGAACAATGCGCAGAGCGCAGCGGGCACCACCGCCCGGGCCGAAGCTCCGGGTTCTGAGGCCGAAGCTGGCGGCCCGCGGTCCTGGGGGTCGGAGAGGCGCCCCGCGGCGCAGCGACGCGTAGGCGCCCGGCGCCCTCCCCGCAGCAGGAGCGGGTGCCCCTCTGGATCCCCGGAGTCGCCACTGCCCCGCGCCGACCACGCATCCCGCTCAACGCCCGGTGCGCGGACCGTCCCCGGCCTCCCCGCCCGGCCCGGCTCTCGGGACCCCGACTCACCCGAGAACCACCAGCTCCCCGTATTTCACCGGCTCCTTGTTGGGGGCGCTGGGCTCCTCCTGCCCGGGGGAAAACATGGAGCCGCGCTCGGCCGCCGCCGCCTCCGCCGCGATGCCCGCCGCGTCCGCGCCGCCGCTACACTCCCATCCCGAGAACGGGGTGAGCGCGCCGGGAAACGGCACGGCGGCGAACGGGGCGCGGGGCGGCCAGTCCCGCGGCTGCTCCGTCGTGGCTGCGCGCTCGCCTGCACGGCTTCCCCGGAGCTGCTCGCTCCGCGGCCGCCGCGAGCCAGACGCGGCAACGACTGCGAGAGGCGGCGGGGGACCTGTCCGCCTTGAGCCGCCGACGGGGCCCCTCGGGAGGGAGGAGGGCGCGGGCGAGAGCGGCCAGGAAGAGCGAGCGCGGCCGGGCGGCTAGTCGGGCAGGTGGGACGCTTGCTCAGCCGCCTGCGCCCTCGGCGCCCCCGCCCCGCCCCCGCCGGCCGCCCCCGTGTTATGTAAACATAGAGTAAAGGGGAAGGGAAGCCCTTAAAGGAGCAGCTCTGTTTTTCTCCTCACTTCCTCCTGAAAGTTGGAGCGGCGAGTCCTCAGGCCTCCACCGTGCCCGGGACCCCCAGCCTTGCCCGTGCCGGCCCAGAATGACAAGGATGCAGGTGGAGCGTTTGCGCCCTCCAAGTGCCTGTGTCCCTACTCACGTCACAAAGTGTCGCGCTCGAACCTCAGCGTCTCGCCTTCCAAAGCCAAGTCCTTCAAAGCTGGAAGGAGGCTAGGAAGCAGGAGGAATCGCATCAGGAGCTCGCCAGCATGGTACACGACGTACCAGCCCCGATTTGAACGCAAAAATTAGGAAGGGAGGGAGGGAGAAAAAGAGAAGAGGAAAAAAAGTTTTTTGTTTTTTATTTTTATTTTATTATTTATTTAAATTGACAGCTCTAAATGATTTACTCTAAATGATTTTGAGGATTTTTTTTTTCGTCTTTTTGAGACAGCATCATCCTGTAGGCCCAGCTGGCCTGGAACTCACTATATAGACCAGACTGGTCTCCACTTCACATAGATCCGCTGTGTAGACCAGGATGGCCTCTACCTCACCAAGATCCACCAGCCTCTGCCTCCAGACTGCTGAGACTAAAGGCATGTGCCACCACTTTAATCCCTTATTCCCTTTCTCTGTGTTTTCTTTCAATCCCTTAAGGAATTTAAGAGGAAATTAGGTGAATTTTTTAATAAAAATTCTTTATTACCATAGTTTAATCATTAAATGCACCTTTTTTATACTTTTTTACATTACTATGTCTTTAAAATACTGTAGACATTATAGTTTTAGTGACTGCTGTTTTCCATCATACAGAATTTTATTATTCTAACATTTGTTAAGCCCTGGAAACGTGATAAAAACAAGACATTATTGCCTGTCACTGCCTTTCAAGACTGTTAAAGAAATAAATACTGCAAAAACTATGTATAAACAGCAACTGATTGCCTGTGACCCTAACTAAAGGGCTAGAAAAGAAATAATTGCATCTGTAACCTTCTATTCTGCTGTACAGCACTGTGCATGTAAAGTTATCTGACAGGTTATTACTGTAGTAACACGATGCTTCTGGTAATTTTACTTCAGTTAGTAACTGGCTTTTTTTTTTTTAATGAGATCCTAGAAATAGATTACTCCAAATCTACAAAAGCCCCACTATTGATAAGCCAAAAATAAACTTTATTAAACAATTAGCTTATCTCTGCTAATTACAAAACTTAAACTGAAGAGAGCTACCATCCATATTGTACATAGTCTATGTAGTTTTATGTTAAGAAAATGTAAAGGTTTAACCAGCAATGTTTCACTAAAAAGTTAAATTATTTCTCATACAATGTTGGTCTGATTTCCATCTGAATTTCTGTGTGACTATGTTGCTTTTCCTACTTAGCATATAGATGTGTGACTATCAGCGATCTATTAAATCATGCTACTGTTACACAGTCTCCCTAATTACAGTACCTAGCTCTGTCATCAGAATGTCTCTAGGTCTATTCTATTGCTGCTACTGATCTCTAGGCTGCAATTACCTCCTCTGTTGGCATGCTGTGCTTTTGTGCTTGTATTAAGGCTGTTCTGGCTCTATTTCTTCTTGCTGTGCTCGGCATCTGCTGCAGAGATGAGGGAAACAAATATTTATTAAACTCCTATTAAGTTCCAGGCACTAGGCTGAGAGTTTCCCATAAGTTGTCCCAAGCTTTGTCAAGGCCATCCTGCATTCCAGTCAGCTGCCCAGGACACCCCTGACTTCCACAGGGCATCTTTCCACTCTCTCCCAGCATGTCTTTGGGCGTGATGATAGTGCTTAATCAATCGGGTCTGTCTTTATCAAAGTTACTTAACAGGTAGTGTTGCTTTCAATGAGTTTTTGATCTTAGGCAGCTCAGGGCTTGTAAGTAGATCAGTACTGTCAGTCACTGTGAGCCTTGAAATCTTCCCAGCTGGTAAGAGTGATTCTATTGATTACAGTTAGGAATACAAGCAGGTGACAGGCTCAGGACTCCAAATGAGCAAATGGACCAAATGAGGACTGTGGCACATTGGTGGCCTGTGCCCTCCTGAGAGAGTACCAGACACTCGTCGCTACCTAATTGTTGCCAGGTGAAATGACAGCTTGTTCCCATTGTATTAAATCATTTTTAAAGTGCCCAATGCTGATTATGCCCAATCTCCCAATGTTGAATGGTCAGAAATTCATTCAAGCTTTTTGAGGGGAGGGGGTGCTTTGCTATTGGGAATGTTTGTTTGGTTTGGTTGATTGATCTTTTTTGAAAAATATTTTATTTATTATTTTTATTTTATTTGTATGATTGTATTGCCTGCAAGTGTTTAAGTGCACCGTGTCATGCAATGCCCATGGAAGTCAGAAGAGAGAGAGTGTTAGATTCCCTGGAGCTGGAGTTATGGACAGTTGTTAGCCACCTTGTGGGTGCTGGGAATCCAATCCAGGTCCTCTGCAAGAGCAGCTAGTGATCTTAACCGCTGAGCCATGTCTTCAGCCCCTGGTTGGTTGATCTTTAAACACAGTATGGGCCAATTAAAACCACCCCCACTTTCTACATGGTACCCAAAGGCTCTAGTTTGCTTTCGCTGATTTTTTGGAAACATACATGAGTGAAAGTAAGTGAACACTTTTCAAGTGGGATCAAATAGTAGGACTGGCACAGTGGCATGGCAGTAAACTTGACTTTCTCAGAGTTGATGATTTGTGACCCTGAAGAAGCCAGTTTGCATCCTTCTCTGCCCATCTTTTTCAGTTATCTGTTTGCAGCTTAAACCAGTTGGAACATGCCCCCTTCCTCCATCATTCCAGCTAACCTTAGGAATCTGATTGTAGCATGAATTTATCCCCTCCTGAATGTAATTGTTTTAGTAGCTCCAGGCTGGTGGGGAAATCTGGCTGTGCCATCTGCCAATCCACTGAGAGCCAGGGTGGACTTGGCTGTCCTTGCTACCTGGACAGCTCCTTCCCTTCCTGCTGGCTGTCATGAATGTCCCTTCAGACCACTCCTAAAGAGGGTGACACCCAGTTTCCCACAGTCTTGACACTGCTACCAGAAGCCATGTGTTTACAAATCAACTTACTGTTGATTTCACTTCCTATCTACTTCTTTTACTTAAAAATTAAAAGATTTAATGATAGGGTTGATGTTTGTTTTAACCATAACTTATGTAAGATCACTCAAATACATCCTAGTTTTTCTAGAATGAAGAGTCTAACTTTTATTGTTGTTTTGTTTTTTGAGACAGGGTCTCCCTGTAACCCCAGCTGGCCTGGAACTTGCTATGTAGACTAGGCTGGTCTCAAGCTCACAAGAGATCTGCCTGCCTCTGCCTCCCAAGTCCTGGTATTAAAGGCATGCATTACCATGCCTGGCAAAAGTTTTGATCCCACCATATTTATGTTTACAAAGACTAAGAAACAAGCATACTCTTTTAAAATATACGTATTTGGACAAGCTGGATTTTTTTACACAATGTTAGATTCCATTTCATTTTTAAGCTATGTATTTGCCTATAGGCATCCTTTCATGTGTGTGTGTGTGTGTGTGTGTGTGTGTGTGTGTGTGTGTTCGAGACAGGGTCTCCCTGTAGTCCCAGCTGACCTGAACTCACTATGTAGACCAGGCTGGCCTTGAATTCACAAAGATCCTCCTGCCTCTGCCTCCTGAGTGCTAGGATTAAAGGTGTGCGCCAACACACCTGGCCTAGGCATCCTTTTGTTTGTTTCTGATTGAGAGTAATGTGCACTCTTTGTCAAAAGTTTGGAAAAAAATGGGAAAAAGAATTTTTGAAAACCTTTTAAAAATTATCTGTAAATTTAACTGAAAATAGCCCTCTTGATCATTCTGTATTTTTCTTTCACTTTTTAAAGCATTTTATTTATTTGGGTGGGGGGTGTGCATGCCAGGCATATTTCAGGTCGGCAAGCTTGGCAGCAAGCACCTTTACCCAGAGCCACCTCAAGACCCTACTCTTTCTTCCTTCCCTCCTTCTTTCCTTCCTTCCTTCCTTCCTTCCTTCCTTCCTTCCTTCCTTCCTTCCTTCCTTCCTTCCTCCTCCTCCTCCCTCCCTCCCTCCCTCCCTCCTTCCTTCCTTCCTTCCTTCCTTCCTTCCTTCCTTCATTCCATCCTTCTTACCTCCCTTCCTTTTTGTATTTGCCATGACTCGCCTTTATAGATTTGTTATCCTACTTTTCTTTGTTTAATATTATGGTATGAGTAGTTTTTTTCACTAGACCCTCATGAATATTTCTGGGTTTTGATCATAAGTATCAACATTTAGTAACCATTCCTCCTTTATGGAACATTTAAACTTTTCCTATTAAAAATATATTTACATTTGTTATTACTTCATGAAAACAGATTTCTGCAAATAAAATTATTACATCAAAGGGTGTAAATATTTTTAAGACCTTTTGATGTGTACTTCCAAAGTGTTCTTTGAACCGATGGGGCCTGGCAATTTACACTGCAAACAGATGCTGCCTCAAGGGCTTCTCACCAGCATTTTTAAACCCTCACTAACTTGACAGGTGATCATTTCTTAGTTGCATTTCTATGATTGCGATTCTGAAGTGAGTCACTTTTATTTTTATTGTGTAGGAAAATAAAATAAAAATAAAAGCTACACACACAATATGAGATCTACCCTCAAAGATTTTTAAAGAACACACTACATTATGGTTTTGTTAGTTATAAGCACAATGTTCTACTACAAATTTCTAGAACCTTTTCACCTTGCATGACTGAATTTTCACCCCCCTTGAACAGCAACTCTCCTTTTCTTCCATCCCTCCAGCCACTGCTCTACTTTCTGCTTTAATGTGCTGGATGATTCTGAAAGCTTCACGTAAGTGAATCATGCAGTACTCTTCCATGAACTGCTTACTATGCT